TATTTCTATTGACTCGCCAGGCTAGGATAAAAGCATATATACAAAGATCACTGACTACAAATACAAGATAGGTAAATAGTTCCTGGACAATTTCATTAGCTAGAGTAATGAATATTAACGAATGATTAATCAAAAAGACAAACGCAACTAGATTCATTTTTGCGACGTTTCGACATCCTCTGATACCATTATCAAGCAATTTTGAATAAACTTTATTTCAAGTTCTAAACTTATTAACGAATGATTGCTCAGAAATTAGGTGCAACTATAAGTCATGAATGGCTTGCATCATTTCTTATATTTTCTACTTATTCTACACATTTTGTTTAACGTGAAATCCTGGGAAATAGTCAACAAGGACGAAAGGTACCATTTTGGCATCATTGTGAAATCCTCAGAAGATAGGATACTGCAGAAAAATGAAAGTCTTCTGTCAAACATGACTGCGAAAACTGACAAGGAATGTTGGCTGAAGTGCGTATTACACAAACGATGTCTATCTCTAAATGTTATAATTGCGAGCAAGACTTTACAATGTGAGCTATTCAACTGGATAGGAGGAAGTCTGAATGCTTTTCTTGTTCCAAGGAAGAATGCTTATCACGCACAGCTACAGGTAAATTCAGATTCAGAAATGCCAGGTTTTCGTTGTACGCTCTGTTTTAGCTTAAAGTTTGGTGTAGTTTAATTCTTTGTCCTGGATTACTTTTGCATATTTATTCATTGTCGTTTCTATTTTGGTATCTTCTGTTATTCATCTTTGAATTTGTTTGTGTCATGCCATGCCAAGCACATGACTTTGGAAATGCACTTTTGACTTAGAATCGCACAATTCACATCGCATCCATAGAATATATATGTTCCTGATACTTCTTTAAAGGCCATAAAAAAGGTTTTCCTCGAAAGATCTTATAAGACGGGATTCTAAACATTTCAGTTTTCGATTCGATCTCAAATCGCTTATAATCATAAGTCAAAATTTGCTGATAAATATTGAGAGTATTAAACGTTAGCTAATCTTATAGATTGATTCGCTTATCTGGTGCT